AGAGAGAGAGAGAGAGAGAGAGAGAGAGAGAGAGAAAGAGAGAGAGAATGGACAAAAGCCATATGGCAAGCATGACAATAGAGGGAGATATTGAGATCAAAGGACAAAATAGCCAAACAACAATAACATAATATTCTCAAAGCTACAGTCAATTCTGTACTCATCACTGATCAGATTTTCATTCCATCTTGACAGGAATTTTGTGGTAATCACATAGGTAATGGGGAAATCCTTTCTTCTTGCCATTTTATTGGAGCAGTGGCCTTTGCAGAACATGCTGAGTGAGTGACTTGTCAGCTCTAAAGGCAAAGCCCTCTCTGGGAACTGACAGCAATTGTCAGGGAGGATAGTGTGAGACCGGTCCTGAAGAATATCTTTAGCTAAAAGGGGAAAGTTTTGATTTGGAACTGTTGAGTCATCTAGTCTGTCTGAGACTCAGAATGGAGTGAGCCTCTCTGGTGCCTTGTAAGAGGAATGAACAGTATAAGTACTCTAAGGCTTGCTGACAGCCCTATTGAATATCTAGTATTTGAAAGACCCCTAGAGTACTAACAAACACTGACCCATGAACACAGCGTCAGTGTGTGGGACAAACAGAAAGATCAGCACATGAAGTAAAATACCACAAAGGTTCTTGCTCATATCTGTAGACACCAAGTCAAATGGGGGGAGGGCACACAGCATACAAATGGGGGATGGGGGTAAGGCAGCATACAGATAGGCTCCAAATCTGAATCAGGGCAGATGATGACTAGAGACAGATTCTATGCATCATTTCTGACAAGTGACCTCATGGAGATACTGCATCTTCAACCAGATAACTTTGGACCCCCTTTTCTATGCACCGGTAATTAACTTGATAACAAAAGAATCAAGAAAACAATCCTATTCATAATAGCTTAAAAATATTCAGAAATATACCTAACCAAGACATTGATAGACCTCTACAATGAAAAAAAATTTTTTTTTGTCTTTTTGAGACAGGGTCCTCCTGTAGCCCCAGCTGTCCTGGAATGCACTATGTAGACCAGACTGGCCTTGAACTCACAGAGATCTGCCTGCCTCTGCCTCCCAAGTGCTGGGACTACAGGCATGTGCCACCATGCCCAGCTATGAAAAATTTTAAAGCACCAAAGAAAGTAATTGAAGGAGAACATAAAACATGTAAAGACCAGGGCTGGAGAGATGGTTCAATGGTTAAGAACATCAGCTGCTCTTGCAGAGGACCTGGGTTCAATTCCCAGTAACCACATGGC